CCGATATTTTAATGTGAAACTCGTCCAACCCCCCTTTCCAGCTCTTTTTTGACCCTTTCTATTTCTTTTTGTTCATCGCTTTGTGCGCTTTTTCCGTTGTTATCGCTCTATTCTAGAGTATTTCTATGAATTCCCGTCAAAAAAGGGTACCCTAAATTTATCGTAAACGGTGCCTTTAAGTTAGGGCCAAAACAGGCAGCCCGAAAGGACTGTTGATCTGTGCTCTCAACGCACCAACGCTTGCATAGAAAGCTTATGGCGAAGAGCTGATGATGGAAGCTAGGGATATCGACTACGACGTCATTGGAGTGACCGAAACTAAAACGCATCACCCGCTGTTTGTCGTTTCTGACTGAAGGGAATCTTTTCTAGGAAATACGAAGGCAGAGGCGTCTGCGGTTTGAGTATTCTCGACGATACGCACTTGGCCATGAACATCGATTTGTACGAAAGCTTCACATCCGAATCGGACGTTTGCGATTACGAAGATGTAGCTCAACTCCAGCTTCAAAAATCTTTGCCTACACACCAACATCAAGCTACAAAGATGAGGAGCTGGAACCGTTTCATATGTACCTGGATAGGCTCTTCAGAGAAGAACACACTTCCTTCAAGGTCATCGTCGGTGATTTCGACGCCAAGATTAGTCCAAGAATAACGGATGAAAAGCTCCAGTTCTGGATTCAAAGAATGGAATAGAATGAGCAGGGTGAAGGGCTGTCCGAGATCATCATATCGATCCACACTATCCTTGGTAGCTCGCAGTTTCAGAAGTCCACTCATTTGCTATGGACGAGTTGTCAGTTGTAACAATTGCGTTTACAGCTGACTACATTAAGTTGAATTATCCAAAACTGCCATCTACTGTCGCCATGAGTCACGAGTAGTTGTTTGAAAATCTAACCAGCTGCCACTTGTGAATAGTGTAGCCCTTACGACGGCGTTAAAACTCGTCCACCTTTGGATGTAGCATACAGCGATGAAATTTTTGAGCTCTTATGAAACCTTGTATACGCCGGTTTTCGATTTAACAGTGTCATCTGTGGTATACGGACTGATCACAAAGTTATCTTAGAGATATAGCATCTCAAAGACGATTTTTGCCGCGAACAATGAGTGCCTTTATACTGTTTTTGCTCTGTTGGAGGTTTTGTCCCATGTTCTTTTTTGAAGTTTGACTCCTTCTACAGGAGACTTTTGAGATTAGATCAACGTCTTTCACAAAT